GCAGATCGTGATACTATGAATAAGTCTCTAGTAGGGATGTCTCCGAATTCTAAATATTTTTGGACATCGGAAAAAAAAATGACGCGGTGCGAATGAGGTGTGTAAGAGATAAGGAATCAAGTCGAAGGGGTTCTAGCTACGCGGATCGTAGCAATGAAGATCCTAACACCACATTTCCTAGCTCCTCAGACTTTGTATAATTTCTTATTTATTTGTAGTACTTTATTTAATTTCTTATTTATTTGTAGTACTTTATTTAATTTCTTATTTATTTTTAGTACTTTGTGTAATTTCTTATTTATTTTTAGTACTTTATTAATTTCTTAATTATTTTAGGTCTTTATATAATTTCTTATTTATTTTAGTACTTTATTAATTTCTTATTTATTTTAGTACTTTATGTAATTTCTTATTTATTGGTAGTACTTTATATAATTTCTTATTTATTTTTAGTACTTTGTATAATTTCTTATTTATTTTTAGTACTTGTAATTTCAAATTTATTTTTTGTACTTTATTTAAACACATCAAATAAGATTACATAAACTCACCAAATAAACTTAAAAAAAAAACACCAAATAAAATTACATAACCTCACCAAATAAATTTAAAAAAAAAATCACACTAAATAAAATTACATAAACTTAAAAAAACACACTTTATTCTCCCCCACAAGCTCATTTTAATTATCTTCACCTTGTTACAATCCCCACTGGTGCTCAATCAAGTCACTCTGGCATCTTATGTGCCAGTATGGCTCTTGCATTGAAGTGTACCGCTCAACGATCAATTGATGGTAACGTCCATCCCGTTCCAATAGCTAGTGTTGCACAGGATCTTCAGTCCAGTCATGAGCATAGTAGATACGTGTTCTTAAGTTGTTCATCATGTCCGGTTCGTATTCATCAACAACATCATAATCATACTTATCTTCCACAATCATGTTATGGAGAATAATACACATCATCATGATGGATTGAAGAGCCTCGGCATCAAACATTTGAGCAGCAGCCCTGACAATCGCCCAACGAGCTTGCAGGATACCAAAACAACACTTCACATCCTTCCTACACCCCTCTTGACATTTTGCGAAGTGTTTTTCTTTTTCACTATGTGGATGTGGCATTGTTTTGACAAACATTGTCCACCTTGGGTAAATGCTATTTGCAAGGTAGTATGCTCCGTCATATTTATGGCCATTAACCTAGTATGTGCATCTATGCGCTTTTCCTTGCAGCAGTTCGTCGAACACTAGAGATTGGCTAAGGACATTTAGGTCATTCTGAGCTCCTAGAACACCAAGAAAGGCATGCCAAATCCATGTATCAAATGAAGCCACCGCTTCCAAAATGATACTTTTGGTCATTTTCTGTCGCCATAAGCTCCTTGCCATGCACTTCAACAGTTTTTCCAAGTCCAGTGCATGCAGTCAATGCTTCCAATCATGTCAGGGAAGCCTCGCATCTCACCCTTCCTCAGAAGCCTTCACATGTCCCTTGGCGTGGGTTTCCGGAGGTACTCATTGGTGTAAGGGCTTCATTTGCAGAGCAAAACTACATCAGGGACTCCAGAACAGTTATTTTTCCCATCCTCGCAATCTCATCCACTTGATCTGCAGATGCTCCATATGCAAGCATTCACAAGGCAACTATAATTTTTTGCTCAAGAATAAGACCTGGAACATGAAAAACATCTTCTTTTTGCACAAAGTATGGATCATGGTTGCAAATAGCACTCGTGATTTTATCGAACAAACTTCGTTGCATTCCAAAACGACGTTTAAAAATATGATCAGGGAATACGCTGTTGGGAATAAAATAATCTTCCAAGAGATCTTTACCTCGTCTTTCCCTTTTTCTATCGAAGTTTGCGGCACATCTGGGTTTGGCTATCTAACCCACATCTTCCATGACATGATAGGAATGTGAGGCCTAAAGCCTTTTATGTTCATCATCCTCATCCTCTTCCATTGCGAAAGCCTCATCTTCACCTTCCTCGAGATTGAACAATTCTTCTTGTTGTGCCAACACTTTTTTTCTGTTGCTCATACAATCTCCTTGACAAAGACATTATAAGAATTCAAGATTCAAAAACGATGACGAACAATTCGGAGCTAAAAAAGAAGATTGAGTTTGGTTTGTGAATGAACATGGATGTAGAGATGTAGGGTTTATATGGACAAAAAAAAAAAAAGGAAAGGATGATGTTCCGGACAATGCCACGTGACACTATGTGATTGATTGAAAATCTTATTGAAATATTGGCTAAATTATTGTAAACAGATAGTGACACGTGGTGCATCTGGATTGATTGAAAATCTTATCAGAAATCTATCTATCAAATAGTATGTTCAGATAATGACACGTGGCGTGACAAGATTGATTGAAAATCTTATTGAAATCTTAGCTAAATTATTGTAAACAGATTGTGACATGTGGCACGTCGGGATTGGTTGAAAATCTTATCGGACATCTATCCATCAAATAGTATGTTCGGATAATGACACGTGACTTGACAAAATTGGTTAAAAATTCTATCCAAAATTAAAACTACATTTTTTAATTTATTATTTTATAAAAAAAAAAAACTAATAATATTTTAAATGGGCTGAGTGCTAGCGCATTTTGTAAAGGTGGGGATCATTTGTGCTAGTGCATTTTTTAGGGGTGGAGATGCTTTTGGCCAATTACTGTTCATTAGGTCTATCACTATTCACTGGAGTGGATTAAATGGGCTAAATGCCGGCACATTCTTTTAGGGGTGGACCTGCTCTCACAAAGCCATTGTGGCCCACTCTTTCATCCCTTAGTGTAGATACTGTCATTGTACCAATTAAAAGAATATTTCTTTTTGTTTCTTTTTCACCAAACCCTAAAAGAGTAATGATATCGGTGGCGCACATTAAACTTTGACACAATGCACAAGTATAAAATGATAGGAGCATATTCATGCAACTTAATTAGCTTGTTCTCGTGCATTTATGTTGTGTTTCCTTAGTTATTTTAGTGTTTAAAGCCACTTTTGTGTATTTTCAGATTATAAGGCCAAAGTATGCAAGAAGATGCAAATTGGATTCTTTTGGAGCAAAAGAGGAATGAATGAGTTGAAGACTTGAAGAAACGATGAATTCCTACTCCAACGATGAATTCCTACCAAAACGAGGATTCCTACTCAAACAAGGATTCCTACTTGAAGTAGGAAAGTTAACCCTAGGTTTCCCGTTTTGGTAACCTTTCCTAATCTTAAACGTCCGTATTTTCTAGCCACTTTGAAGGCCTTGTAGGCACTTTAGGACACAAAACAAAGGCCCTAGGCCCCTTAAACCCCTTTGCCGTGGCTTTTCCCTTCTCCCCTTCCCTTGCCGTGCAAGGGGGGGTAGTTTTGTCCTAGGTTAGGCAATTAAACACATGCTCCTCTCCTAATTTAAAACCCTAGCCGCACCTTGCAGCCATTCCCTCTTTAATTTCTGATTTTATTTCCTAATTCTAAAAGCCTTTATTTTTAATTTTAGTTAATAAAAACAAGCTAGGGTTTTATTTTCTGAAACCCTATATAAAAACTAAAACCTAAGCCGCACCCTAGCTCTCACTTTTCAACCATTCTATTATTTCATTCAGCCACCATTCCATTCAGCCGCAACTCCTATCCCTTTCTTCCTCCAATCCGCAGCCACCATCACCCTAATTCCATCTTGCCGCAGCCTTCCCACCCTTCCAGCCACCATCCACACCTCCATACATCATCCCACCACCTTGCCGCACCACCATATTCCCATAAACCCATCCCTAAACCAGAAAAACATCCAAAAAGCCATAAAACCTTCTCTGCCGCAGCAAGAAGAAAGGAGAAAGAGGAGCTTAAACGTGCAGAAATTCAAGTGGATTCCTTGGGCGTTTTAGGTGTAATCAATCTTTTGTTCTTTATGTTTAAATTCAATTTTATTTCTCTTTCTGTGAACATGAGAGGCTAAACCCCTAGTTAGGTAGGGGGTGATTCAAAACCATGTTTATGCTTGCAATATAAATTGATTACCTTTGGTTGGAATTTCATGAATTGTGGATTCAATTTGTTTAACTGCTTGATTGATAACTTATTTGTGTATGTTTATTGAGAGTGCACGCTTAGTTTTCATGCATGAATATGACGCTAGAATATAAGTGAGTTTCACCTAATAGTTATAAACTTATATTCACAAGTAGTGGAGGTTGCTTATAAACAATCGCGTTAAATGAATTATTGGCACTAGTTTCATGCTCATCATAGTAACGAATGCCTCGTCAACACTTATAGTTTTCATGTTGCTTAATGATCTTTGATTGTATATTTATTGTGCTTTTCACGTAAAGGACTTTTGGAGAATGTTTTGAATTGTGTATGCGCTGTCCCATCCAATTCATTAACTTAAGGAACACTTGAAGGTTAATTTAAGCGGACCTAATTAACCCGGGGTGTTGAGTTTCATGATTCATCGAAAGACCAGCAGAAAATCATCATGTATGCAAGTGTGACATGTGTGGAGAAGAACCTTCTAGCTAGCATTCCATCCATGTTTTCATCAAATTCGTATTTACATTCTGTTTTAATTACAATCTGTGCATTTTGTTTAATTTCGTCAAAAACTCAACCCCCCTTTACTTTAGTGTTCAATTTAGTTAGAAAGTGTCTTAGTTTGTGTTTCTAAGTGTTTTGATTCAATTTATTACCCAAATTCGTCCAAATTAGCCAAAGTGCTCAAAACTGCCCAGATTGTGTTTTTAAGGCAGTTTTGAGTGTTTTGGTGCCGTTTTGAGTCTTTTGGTTTGTTTTAGTATTTTAAGTGTTTAGTTTTGCATTCTTTTGAGTCTAGTTTAGTGTTTTAACCTTTGTTTTACGTTTTTGAGTCAGTTTCTAAGTGATTTAGCAATCCCTCCTAATCCCCAGTTAAGAACGATTCCTACTTATATATATACTACAATTGTCAAAAGAGGGTTTTAATTTGTGTGCTTACATAGTTCACATCATAAAACACCCAAAGTTCGAAGCTACTATTACTTATTTCTTGTCTGAACAACAAACTCTCTGTCAATCACATTCTTTTACAAACGAACTTCATTCTACGACTTACAATGCAAGCTCCAGAAATCTTCCATGGTTTTCCTCGATTAACAATCTCCTAGATTACTAGTCTCACCTCTTCTCACCGCATAAAGTTCTGGCAGCTTGCAGGGCAAAATATGTGAGGATTACGTCAGCACCGGCCCTTCTGAGACACATGAGCGATTCCATCATAACCTTTTCTTCGTCAATCATTTTCAGAACTCCACCAGCCTTGATCATTGAATACTCACCAGAAACCTGCATTGATGATTTTACATAAAATAAGAACAATTTTGCAGACATGGGCCGGGAAAGGAGATTCTAGTTAATCAATCAGTACACAATATAAGAAACAATAACATTTTAAACACTCACTACAACTATTCTATCGTCTAGCTTCAAATAAACAAGACATGTTTCCAGGACTCGCATAGGTATCAATTCAAGAAGTGTAAATTGTGTTTTGAAGCTTGAAATGGAATAAAACAAGAACAAACTTCCTGTTAGGAAAGGCACAATGGAATAAAGGAGATCATTTATGACAAGACTCACCTGATATGCAGCTATAGGCAGAGGAGAGTTATCGCGGAGTAATCTTATGATATCTAAATATGGTAGAGCAGGCTTCACCTGTGAACGATTTCATAGTTTTAGAACTAGCTGCCATTGGGTAGCTACGGAAAAATATTTAAAGCAAGCAACACTAACCAAGAGGATATCGGCTCCTTCAGACTCGTCTTCATTTGCCTCAACCATAGCCTCTCTATAATTTGCAGGGTTCATCTGATAACTTTTGTTTTTCAAACCACATTTTATATGTCAAGTCAGCAATAGCTAAATTATATTTGAAACTAGCTTAAGGTTTAACTCCAATGAACTACATACGTTTTCTTGTCACCAAAACGTGGATTCGAGTCCAATGCTTCCCGAAATGGACCGTAAAATGAACTTGCATACCTGTTTGAAACATAAGGACATTCTTCAATGCAAGTATAAATCTCAGCAAGTGCAACTCCAGAAAGTGCATGTAAGAAATGGCTAAAAGTGCATGACGTGTTCTTAAAAAATAATGAAATTTCCTTAAATGATCAACAAAAGAAATATTGTAATGACAAGTCGAATTACTTTGCTGTATAAGACATGATAGAAACATGCTGAAAACCTTCAGCATCAAGAGCAGTTCGAATAGCTCCCACACGACCATCCATCATGTCACTGGGACTCACAACATCTGCTCCAGCTCGGGCCTATTGATAAGAGGTAAACACGTTAAACAGTAGGTTACTGACATATCTCAATTCAACATAATTCACAACTAAGAAATTACACATATAGGACTTAATCTGCCACAGTTACCTGGGAAACAGCTTGCTTACATAATTGATGTACTGTCTCATCATTCAGAATAACTCCTACAGCATCAAAAAAGAGCTTTGTAATCAATAACAAAATGCATGTATGAACGAAATATATACCTCTTCTAGAAAGATCAGTTCTCATAAGTCATGGCATATGTGACTTACCATCTTCTCTGACAATACCGTCATGCCCATCAGAGGAATATGGATCTAAAGCAACATCTGTGTATATAACCTGACGCACACAACAATTAAACAACATGACATTCTCCCACACATGAGAACACGTCAATACATAAGGCAAACTTGATTTAAAAGACTCAACAAACTATGTAAACTTACAAGATCAGGGTATTTGTCTTTGAGCAACCGTATTGTTCGAGGCACTAATCCATTATCGTTGTACGCTTCATCACCTGTTGGATTCTAAAAGGCAGAAACCAATCCAATTATACTACAACATTCAACAGAACAGTTGAGCAAAAGCACGAGAGTAATTGTAAAACCTTCAAAGCATCTGGAACTTTGGGGAAAAGCACAATACTATTGACACCAACATCTCGAGCCTTTGCAACCTGCTCCACACCAAATCTTACTCGGAACCAGTAACAATAAGCTTAAACAGAACAGATAAGAGCCAATGAGTTAGCGGTACCTCACCTCTTCCACAAGTCCATGTCTCCACCCAAGCCTATAACATCCCGGCATTGCCCCAATAGGGGCGTCGCCCTGACCTGCAAGATTTACACAGAAATGCAGAATTGACAGAGGCTTAAGCATGAAAACATTGTAAAACGCAAAACTTTTTAGCACCAAATTGAGTTGCAAGGAAGCACCAACCTTCATGGATAAAAAGTGGATACACAAAATTGGCAGGAGACAAACTTGTTTCCTGAAACGCAGCTCTCAGCGACGGCGACCTTCGGTTCCGGCGAGGTCTCCGACTGATCGGCTGGCATAAAAATCGATCCCCATCAAAACCCACAACCCAAATTTTAAAAATGTGAAATTTGATGCAAAACGAAAACACAATTTCGCATTTCGAACATAAAAAAATTGTTTAGAGAGTCGGGAACTCACAAGCGAAGACACTACTGGAGTTCCAGCTGGGGCGGCGGCCTTAGGCGGCACCGGCGGCGCTTGCGGCGGGTTTCCTGCGACAACGGCAGCCTCGCACTCGGCGTCGCGGAGCCGGGTCTTCCCGATCGATCCATCGCCGTCGCTGGCTCTTATGGTGAAAAGGCGCTGTGGGCGGGTGGTCTTGATTTGGATCCGACCCGAATTGAGTTTCAGAGGTTTGGCGGGTCTGAGACCAACGTAATCCAGACCCTGGATGGGTCCCACGTTAACAATTGTTGAAGCCATGAGCTAAAAATGCTTCACAAAGAGAGGTGGCCAAAGACGCTGACAGAGGATCACTCTATCTCTTCGATCCGATAAATTGAGTTTTGAAAGGTAGTTGAAGTACCAGTTTGGCCCCTTTTCTTCAATTTCATATTTTACATCACCATTTTACCGCTATTTTTTAAATAATTAAAAACGCTTTTGAGTGAATTATTTTTTAACCTAATTATTAATAAATGTGCAAACGAAATCTAGAAAATCAATTCAAATGTTTCTTGTGCTTTTAAAACGATTGAAAGCATTTGTCAGGAAACTATTTTTAGAATCAACTCTTAGTAAAAATGCAAGTGAAACTTAAAAATGCATTTGAAGTGCTTCCTTCAAGAAGTATCTAACTAGTATTTCTTGCAAGAAGCATTTCAAATGCTTTTAGAACCCAAATATATTCTCACCAAAAACGTTTTCAATTATTTTAATCTAAACTATTTACTAATAGAGCTCTTTGTCAATAAAAAAAATAGTAAAAAGACTATTTAGTCTTCTATCACAGAAAAAAAATGATGGGCAATAAGATAATTTCATAAAACTAAATTTTACTATTTTTTATTAAATACCACGTACATATGATTTTAACATATATTTAATATTTAAAAATAAAAAATAAAAAACAAAACCTCTATTCCCACTCTCATTCCCACATTCTCTCTCATTTCCTTCCCATTTTAAAAGCAAAAATGAAAAATATTCATATGGTAGTAATATAATGAGATTAAGAGAGATATAAATTAAAAGAGATTAATTTTCTCACTTTCTTTTTCTTATAATGCACTCTTTTCGATTTTTTATTTGTTAACTCTTTTTCATCTATTTTGTAGTTGTCACATGGAATATATAGAGAAGAATAAATCACATAATGTCAAATCATTTTTGTTACACATAAAATAATGGCGTACATTTGTTGATTAATACATGCAATAATTTTATTCACAAAATGACATAGTTATGACATGTTAAATTTTTACTTATTAAAAAATAATAGTAATTGAGATTCAAAGTGAGTTGATGAATGAAATTTGGTGAAGAGGAGCACCATGGTTGTACGTTACTCCATTGATGAGATTCAAAGCAATGTTGAGTATTTGCCGTCTAATATCACAGTTTAATAGTAAACTTCTTTAGTTGTAAGTGAGATATATTATTTTAAAATTATGAGTACACCCTTTAGAATTCAATTTTCTTTAACTAAAACCCATCATGGTAAATTTCTCTAACAAAAACCCAATGATTAGGCTCCAACTAAGCAATATCCATAATTAGTTTGACTTGGCAAAATTTGTATTTTTGGATGTCCAAATTATCTCTAATTACACTTACTTTGGGTCTCTCACTCATTATCTACATTTATTTTACATTATTTCATTCAATTAAATGTCTTCAAATACCTAATGGGGATTTGGAAAAAAAAATAAAAAATTAAATGTCATGATTCCTATGCATTTAATAATAAAAATTTACATGATACCAATGTTCCTTATATAGTTGTTTTCACATGATGCTAACAGGTAAATTAGTATATCCCACAAATATAAAAAAGTTATTTTATTCAAAATTATCAATATTTTAAATATAACATGGGTGAATTATTTTGCACAACATATATACAATAACAATATAAGTTCCTACTAAATTATGTAATGATACATGCAAAATAATTTATGACACACCCCGACCGAGATCAGGGCATGCTAGCCGTCACGTGGAAGTGACGTAACCATGTGCACAGTGCGGAAGCTAAGAAATAATAATAAAAGTATGAATAAATAAAAACCAAGCTATACACTGCGTAAATAATATACATGTGCAAGCGTAAGTGTGAAAAACAATATTCAGAGCACGGAAGACCTAGTGCGGTCTGGGGGAAACAAACACTAAATAAACACACCCAAAGGTGGTCCTACTCTGGTGATAATCTGTCAGATATGCCGAAATTCCCTCGAAAGCCACCAACAGAGCTATCCAAACTAGAACCTGGAGGGGCGCAAAACAGAAAATGTGAGTGGGCAAAAACAAAGCTTTTCGAAATCATTTCAATTTCAGTAGTACTAACCCGTCGCCATAAAACCCGTATAGTTTCCCAGAAAATAAAGTATGCACATATATATATATATATAAACATGCTAAGAAATATGCCATGTCGAATGCCTTTAAACAAAATGCAAGCACTCAGGTAATGTCAATCAATGTCATGTAATCTGTCAGCCGGAGTCACCTAACGTGACCTGTACGGCTGAATCTAGAGCTCAAATCCCCAACTCACTAACTATACTTGCACACGAATCGGAACCACCTAAAGTGGTCTATACGACAGGACTGGGTGTAAATAAATACGCTCAAGTGCTACAATCACGTGAAGACTGGGCGAATAATCGCGGGTCACCTACGAGTTGGAACCACCTATAGTGGTCTGTACGACAGAACTGTGCACCTAACTTGGATCCAAGATGAGTGTGTGGTTTGGGAGGTGAACATCACGTGAAGGACTGTGCCCTACTCTGGGCGGGAGCACTAACACCGGGGGTGCAGGTTATGAGCTCTCTATGCATCTCAAATCACTACTAACCATAAACATAAACCATAACTTACCTGGCACTTACCTGTGCGTCCGCAGCACCAAACATATATATATATATATATGCAACTAATAATGCATAATTAAACGGGCAAACATAATGCATGGCATATAAAACATATAAACATTTAATTTCATTTTTTGGGAAAATCACAAGTATATAGGTATATACAGAAAACCAAAAGCGCACTCATTGGTATGTAGAAGGGTCGTAACCCCCTTGCCTCAAGTGACTGTGCTCGTCCTCAGGATAGATCTCACCTATATGCGAAACAACTATAAAAACATTAATTTTAAAGCACATAACCCAAACTAGGTAAAAACTTCTCATACAATGCTCAAATGGGGTGTGTCAATACACCAACGTGATCTACTCAACCTCAAGAACATCCCCATATTTTAAAAATAATTTTCTAACACTGCACGCGCCCCCACGCGCCGCCCATGTGCAGGCACGTGCCTGGCACACTGACGATGTCAGTTAACGCCGTCAGGAATATTCCGTTAAGTCTGACAAATTTCGTTAACGTCGTTAGGAATATTCTGTTCAAACTGACGGAATATTCCATCGTCTTCTCTGGCCAACCTCCGGCGTCGTTGCCATCGCCGGAAAACCGGGAAAATTTCTAAACTTAATCACTCACTTGTTTTTCACCCAAATTTCACGAAATTGGTACCAAAATGAAGCTTACAACTAGAGGAACAAATCCATACCACTTTCAAGCACTAAAACCAATGGAATCTCGCCAGGAAAACTCCACCAAAACCGGCCAAACATGCAACTCACGATCCCGACGTCCAAAACCTTCAAACGAACTACCCTGAGCCTCTTAAGGACCTCACCAAGCTTCCTACAAACTTGAAATTCCCAAAAACACATGAATTTACATGTGCATGAACAATACCCTAATTTGAACATCTCGGGTTCGACGTGAAAATGAAGGTTCCCTTACCTGAAATGGGTATGGTTGAACTCCTAAGGACCTCACGAGCACAAATATGTAGTTTGCTTCCTCGATCTACCACGTTTTCGAACACTTTGGTTCTTGTCCGTACAAGGAAGAAAGGAAATGGAGAGAGAGACAGATACGGGACAGGGAAAGAGTGTGGGTGTGTGTGTGTGTGTGTGTGGGGTCCAAAACAACCAAACAAAAATAACCACATAACGAAACAAAAATACTAAGGGCAAAACCGTCATTTTACCGGTACAGTACGAAAAATCCGAGACGGGCTGTCACAATTTACCTACAAAATAAATAAATATTTTTTATTTAAAATTAATTAAATACAATATTTTGAAAAAAAAAATATATATATATATATATATATGACACACCCCGATCGAGATCAGGGCATGCTGGCCGTCATGTGGAAGTGACGTAACCATGTGCACAGTACGGAAGCGAATAAAATAATAATAAAAGTACGAATAAATAAAAACCAGCTATACACAACGTAAGAACATACATGTGCAAGCGTAAGTGTGAAAACAAAGTTTAGATCACGAAGACCTAATGCAGTCCGGGAGAAACAACACTACAAAAACACACCCAAAGGTGGTCCTACACTGGTGATAATATGTCAGATATGCCGGGAAAATCCTCTCGGGAGCCACCAAAAGTGCTAGCCAACTAGAACCTGGAGGGGCACAAAACAGAAAGCATGAGTGGGCAAAAACAAAGCTTTTCAAAAACCATTTCATAAACAAGTTCTAACCCCTCGCTGTAAAACCTGTATACTTCCTAGAAAAATAGAATATACACATATATATATATATAAGTCATGCTCAGAAATATGCCATGCCAAATGCGTCGAATAAAATGCAAGTGCTCGGGAAGTGTCAAATCAATGCCATGTAATCTGTCAGCCGGAGTCACCTAACGTGACCTGTACGGCTGAATCTAGAGCTCAAATCTCCATCTCACTAACTATACCTGCACACGAGTCGGAACCACCTAAAGTGGTATGTACGACAGGATTGGGTGTAATATAAGTATGCTCAAGTGATCACGTGAAGGCTGGGCGAATAATCGCGGGTCACCTACGAGTCGGAACCACCTAAAGTGATCTGTACAACAGGATTGTGCACCTAACTTGGATCCAAGATGAGCGTGTGGTGCGGGAGGTGAACATCACGTGAAGTACTGAGCCTAACCCTGGTCGCGTGTGTGCCGACGAGGGCATTGGGCCCCTAAGGGGGGTGGATTGTGACATCCCACATCGCCCAGGGGAGTGATCCTTATATGTATATTCCCATCCCTACCTAGCACGAGGCCTTCTAGGAGCTCACTGGCTTCGGGTTCCATAGGAACTCGAAAGTTAGGCAAGAAGGGGGCTAGAGCAATCCCATGATGGGTGACCCACTGGGAAGTTGCTTGTGAGTTACCAAAAACAAAACCGTGAGGGAATGGTAAGCCCAAAGAAGACAATATCGTGCTATGGTGGTGAAGCGGGCCCGGGAAGTAATCCGTCCCGGGCCGGGATGTGACAA